CTGGAGCTGGCGGCGCTAGCGGAGTTGTAGCTGCGGACCCTGGGGGTGGTGCTGCTGCTGGTGCTGCGGACCCACCTGGTGGAGCTGCTGCTGGAGCTGAGGACCCGAGCGGTGGCGCTGCTGCTGGTGCTGGGGACCCGGACGCTGGAGTCTCTTCTGCTTCTGGAGACGCTGCGCGGCCGCGGCCGTACTTCGTACCGCTCCTTCAGCAGGTTCTTGGGCAGGCTCCTCCTCCTTGTCCTCCTCCCTCCGTAGAGTGTCCTCCGACTGTCCAGCCGCAGTCACAGTTACCGCCTGCCTCGCCTCTCCCTGCTCCCTCTCCTTACACTGGTCCCACAGGAGGTCTTACAGAGCGTCGTGAGCCTGAGTCTCGTCCTGCGTCGCCTGTCCGTACTGCTCGCACTAGTCGTCGTGTCCGTCGTGAGCGTCCTCCTCCTGTCCCCGGCACTCACTACATGACTCTGCGTCCCTCTACTGCTCCTCAGCATGTCCCTCTACCGTCTCCTCCTGCGTCCTCTTTGCCTGACGTTCCGGCCCCTGAGTCTGACCGGTATCGTGCTGAGCACCCTACTGTCACGCGTCTCCTAGCTACTGTTGTCACTGACCCTACATTTGAGTCCTCGGCTGCGTCTGCTCTGGTCGCTGAGTTGGTTGACTTTGCTGCTGCCTGTCGTCTAGACTACGCTGCTAGCCTGGTTGCTGCGTCTGAGTCTGCGTCTGTCTGTCCTCCGTCCGTCGGGGGTGAGTGTGCTCTTGGCACGGACGTCCTTGAGGACAGGCAGGAGGACTTTGACTCTCTCGCGGCTGCTGTACCTCATCTCGTGGCCTGGTTGCTTGCCCCTGAGGGAGACCCGGATGCACTAGACATCCCCACTCCGCGCACTTACGCAGAGGCGATCTCGGGTCCCTACTCCTCTCAGTGGCAGACAGCCATGGACGCAGAGATGGCATCCTGGAAGTCCACAGGCACCTACGTCGACGACGTTCCCCCTCCCGGGGCGAACATCGTCGATGGCATGTGGATTTTCAGGGTGAAGCGGCCGCCAGGTTCTCCGCCTGTCTTCAAGGCTCGTTACGTTGCTAGAGGCTTCAGTCAGCGTCAAGGGGTTGACTTCTTCCAGACCTTCTCCCCCACCCCGAAGATGACCACTCTTCGGGTTCTGCTGCACGTTGCTGCTCAGCGTGACTACGAGCTTCACTCTCTTGACTTCAGCACAGCGTTCCTGCAGGGCAGCCTACACGAGGAGATCTGGCTGCGCCGCCCACCTGGCTTTACTGGGTCGTTTCCTCCTGGTACCCAGTGGAGCCTCCGCCGGCCAGTCTACGGTCTCCGCCAGGCGCCACGTGAGTGGCACGACACACTGAGGACTACACTTGCGGCTCTTGGGTTCGCGCCGTCTACTGCTGACCCGTCGCTGTTTCTGCGCACAGACACGTCGCTGCCGCCGTTCTACATTCTCGTGTACGTCGACGACTTGGTCTTTGCTACTGCTGACACTGAGGCACTCGCTCGTGTGAAGTCGGAGCTGCAGAAGAGACACACCTGCACTGACCTGGGTGAACTGCGTAGCTACCTTGGCTTGCAGATCACCCGGGACAGAGCTCGCCGCACCATCACCCTGACTCAGTCACACATGGTGCAGCAGGTCCTTCAGCGCTTCGGCTTCCAGTTCTCCTCACCACAGGCCACACCTCTGGCTACCAGCCACTCGCTCTCAGCTCCACCTTCGGACGAGTCCGTAGAGCCGAGTGGCCCGTACCCAGAGCTTGTAGGCTGCCTCATGTACCTGATGACTTGCACACGACCTGACCTCGCGTACCCTCTTAGCATCCTTGCTCGTTACGTTGCGCCTGGGAGACACAGGAGAGAGCACTGGGAGGCTGCTAAGAGGGTGCTGCGTTACTTGTGCAGTACATCAGGCATGGGGCTGGTGCTTGGAGGACACGACAGAGTTGTTCTCACTGGTCACTCGGACGCTTCTTGGGTGGACGACTTGGCTACGCAGCGGTCGTCGCAGGGTTACACCTTCAGCCTTGGCTCTGGTTCTGTCTCGTGGCGGTCCACCCGTTCTTCTTCTGTTCTCAGCTCTAGTTGTGAGGCTGAGATCTACGCCACGGCCATGGCTGCACAGGAGTTACGCTGGCTCACCTACCTGCTGACTGACTTGGGAGAGCGGCCTAGTTCTCCTCCAGTTCTGTACGGCGACAACAAGGCGGCCCTTGCCTTGTGTCAGGAGCACAGACTGGAGCACAGGACGAAGCACATTGCTCTTCGCTACTTTCTTGCTCGAGAGCTGCAGCAGCGAGGTCAGCTTCGGCTTGTGTACGTGGACTCGAAGGCCAACACTGCTGATATCTTCACCAAGGCGCTCCCGCCTAGTGATCATCAGCGGCACTGTACTTCTTTAGGCCTTGTGTCCACGTTTCCTCACTTGCTCACTGCTTGACATTCTTTGTACTGTACTTTATATATATCTTGTTGCTTGTCCTGTACTATATCTAGCACTGCATGTGAACTGGCCTTGTGGCCTTTGCTTGTGCTCGGAGTGTGGTGACTTTGTGATCCACCCTGGGCTTGCGTTGCTTTGCTGGACTGGTCTTGTGACCCTTTGTTCTCCCCCACTTTGCCTATGGGGGTGTGTTAAATTGTAATGTGTTATATGTTGGTAGGCTGTAGTGGGGTAGCTGATATGGGGTACAACCCCAACTAGGGTTTCCTATTTGTACCCTTGCTTCTTTCAATCCAACCATTCTTGCCTAGTTCTCTTAACAAGAACACGCTGAGTCGCCATAGTGAAAACGAACGCGAACGGAGAGGGAGGGGACAGCAGTAGGTGAGAGGCAAATTAGGGTTCGGCGGTACTCTGGGACAGGGGAGGAGCGGACGCCACAGCGGGCGTGACAGCGGGAGGTAACAGGGGACTAAGCAGCGGGGAACGGGAACGGGCGCAGCGGCGGGCGATGGCAGCGCGCTCGGCAGCAGGGGCCAGCAGCGCGCGCAGCGGGCGACGGCAGGGGGCGCAGCGGCGACGCGCGTGTTGGAAATAAGAAGTCGCTAGAGCGCAGCGGAAGCTCTAGGAATTAACGACGTCCCTACGGCGGGGCAATGGTCACTCAGAGGTAGCTCTCTTAGCTTGTAACTTGGTGCCAGAGCAGCGGCCGAGGGTAGGCCGGACACAAGCTTGGGAATTGTGTAATATGAGCAAGGCATTACATTCTGTTATATAGCAAACAGATAGGGCAAACAGTTACCAAGGCGCAACTGTATAACAGTTGCGCTGCGTCGCTTGGGTTGCCTTGTTACAGTCGCGCTGGCGAGACTTTTCAGCTTCGGCAAGGGCGCGGTATCCTGCCGCGCCCCGCAGGTCAGTTTCGCGTACTGTAGACGATGCCTCCTGCTGTCGATTCGACTCTTGAACTGCCACGCGGGTCGCAACCGCTGTGCTCGGTTGCGCCCCGTTGACTCGCCACCAGGTTCAAATCCCTCGCTATGGCGAGCCCCTGTAAGCACACTTCGAACAGTGCATTTATAATAAAAGCATACAAACATATTCTCAACAGCGCGCAGCGGCGGGCGACGACGGCGGGGCCGCGGCGAGGCGCGCAGGGGGCGGGCGACGGCGGCAGGCGCGGCGGCGACGAGCGCGGTCGCGAGCGACAGTGGCGGGCGCTGCGGGACGGGCGACGCGACGGGGGGAGAGGGCGGGAGCGACGGGACAGGGGGAGGGCGACGCGACGGGGGGAAAGGGGCGGGTGCGACGGGACAAGGGGAGGGCGACGCGACGGGGGGAAAGGGGGGGCGCGACGGGACAGGGGGAAGGCGACACGACGGGGGGAAAGCGCGGACGCGACGCGACGGGGGGAGCGCGACGCGACAGGGGGAAAGGGACGGGCGCGTCTCGAGGGGGGGCAAGGCGAGGCGACGGGGGCGGTAACAGCTGGAACGATACGAACGAGAGCGTGGCTCGGCGCTAGGCTCGGTAACAACGAGAAGGAGACGAACGAGAGCTAGGATCAGGCTCGGGTGGTACGAACGGAGAACGGCGGAACGGGATCCCACAGGATCCTAACCTAACTGATACCATGTCAGAATGAAGAATGGATGGTGCATTGATGTTGGTTGGGGTACATATAGCTAACCCTAAGTTTTGTACCCCCTAAGACAAACCTCACTATAGGCTACAACATTTGACACTTTGCCTATGGGGGTGTGTCAAATTATATGTAGGCTGTAGTGGGGTAGCCCATATGGGATACAACCCAATTAGGGTTTACTACTTGTACTCCTGCATCCTGCTAGTTCATTCATTCCTGCTGCTAGATTCTAACATATCGTTTAACATCGCTCCAGGTTTGGCGAGTCCCCTTTTCCCCTCGTCAGTCAATCCCCGTTTCGCTACACTGACTTTGCCGAAATAATTGTTTACAAGGTTTGGTTTCGCTAACATTATTTCAAACCCACATAACTTGAAGAATTACCATGCTGACCCCGGGCTTTAAAGCGACTGCGCCCATACCCGGGCCTAATCAACACATCTTGTTCTCACAAACTAGTATAAGGTGGTTCAATCAAAGTTCACTAAGAAAGCTTCCGCAATTATATCTCTACTCAGAGTTTTAGCCTGGCAACGATCCTGAGGGCCTTTCTCAGCCCAACGCTCCTCAGAGCGTGATGCACCTATTAGACTGCACTGCACACTCCTCAAGAGTGTCTGCGACAACTGAGCCTACAATCTTCCAACCCTCTAAAGATTTTTTGCCAAGTCTACAAGAAGTATCTCTCGCATCTCCAACCTCTCCTGCAGCCCTCATACATAACCCATTTAGAGTTTCTCAATCATTCTTCCCATCCCGCAAAATTCTGGTCCTGAAGATTTTCAGGATTCGTGAAGGCAACCTTTCCGCTGGCTCAGAAATTACAGGGTCTTTTTCACAGGGGCCCGGATAGTCCGAGCTCGCAAAAATCCTAGCAATACACCTGCTCGTCACCCACATCATGACTAGAAACCTACATCTTTGAGGTACTTGGCCACTGTAGCAACGCTTATAGTCACGCCACCTGCCGCGGAAGTCTCGCCGTATATGCCAATCACAATACCATCTCCAGTCTTGTGGATGCAGCAACCATCGGATTTCCCGTTCTGCAAGCTTGCACGAAATACGACATTAGTGTTTGCAAAAGGAAAAGAGGCTAAATCTACGCTGTTCTCACCTCACGTGGTAAAGTAGTGGCACCCTTACAAGATTTTCCTTGTTTCGTCCACGAATGACAGAGCCTGGTTCGCCTCGAATCACGATAAACTTCTCGTTACCCAGCCATAGCCCATTTGCCGCAAGAACATTCATGTTGTCAAACCCCTCCACGATCGCTCTAATCTGATCATCAGTAACCTGAAAGGGGATTGGGGAAAAAGAGACCCCGCATTATAATAACTTCTTTGCGAGACAGATCGAACTCAGGTGACATCGCACTGAAACTAAATTCCCCATCTTACAGCTGGAAAGGATTCACTTCGGGCCCGAGGAGAGCCATCTTGACAATAAATGGCTGCCGATGTTATCTTTTCATCACTTATATGCTTTAGATTATCCAGATACGGTTGAAGGTTCGCCATGGAGAATGAGATTGGAACCTCGAGTTACTACTAGTACTAGTACTACCAGGTGCTGGTGGTGCTACCGAGTAATGGGCCTGTACCTGTCTTATCAAACCCAAATAATGTCACCAAGCCCTCGAAGAGGATTTCACCTGATGTGCGATTGGGAATCGTGGTTCCACACAGCTATGGGCCACTCACGTCAGGGATTATTCTTACTGGCTCGTAATGCATTTTCAATCCTAAGCCACGTGTTCTTTGTTGAGCAGCGATGCTCAAAACTGGTACGGCCAACTTCACTGATACACAAATTATGCCAGGAGCGATTTGCATCAGTACTCAACCTCGATTTCGCATAGCTGATTGGTTATCGATTTTAAATCACATCGCTGATTGGATCTCGCTCTTTTATCACGATTTTCACGCAAAAAACACATCCGCAATGTCACGAAACAGAACGCAGTTACCAAACAACTAAATCATGGAATAGTCAACCATTTACAAAGAAAATTTGTATCAAGCGCAAATTTTGTTAAGATAAAAAGAATCGAATTTGGAAAAAAAAAAAAAAACAAACAAACAACAAACAAACAAACAAACAAACAAACAAACCAACCAACCAACAAACAAACCAACCAGGACCGTACAGTGCTAGAGGCCAGAGGCCAGTATCTGACCAAACCGTCGCGCAGAGAGGGAAAAACAAGCACATCTTAGTTGTTTATTACAAATTTGTTAAAAGGGATTTTCCATAAGGTCTTTCATTTCGCTTGCGTCTAAATTTTCTTTAGAAATTGTAAACATTTATCATTTTCAAGCCCGTAGTGTTAGTCATAACGCTACCAGTGGTAACGATGCTATTGGGAACTTAAAGAAAACAAGCAAATGGAGCAGTAAAAAGGCAAAACCCTTTAAAATGTGTACAAAATTTTAAGGGAAATAAACTCTAAGAACGTACTGCAATCATTGGCGTACTGCACCGGCATGTGACGATTGGAAGGCTCCAAGCAAGCATGGCTTGGAGAAATTTATAGATATAATGACTAAAAGTGTTATTTGCGAATGTTATATTCAAACATATTATATTCTCTCTAATTTGTAGAACATTTAAGGGGGGTCTGAAGAAGTTCACTTTGGTTTTTCTCGTTTTTTTTTACGTAACCTCACTCGTCAGTTTTGACTGTACCCCAATTTGTATTCTGATCATTTCATGTACAACAGCAACAACGCGAAAAGCTGTCAAGGTACAACAACGCGATCCGCCCACTGGGTAACCAATGTCGCACAGGTTTGGCGCACAGCCTCTTCTTTTCTGCAGCCTTCCAAATCACCCGCTCCGACCTGAGCCGATGCAGTGCACCGCAATTCGAATATGGTGTGGTGCAGATTGGGGCGACTGGAGTCTGACTGCCTCGGTTCGGGGCAATCTGTGAAACCCGAGTTATATTTCGAGGCAATGGGGGCAATCTCTCGATCGCGATCAAGAACCCGATTGATTGCATTGATTGTCTCGATCTGACGCAATCGATTGCGATTTATTGTGATCGATAGATTGTTTCAGATCTCGACGCCTGACGATACACACAATCAGTAACACACCCTGTCAGATTCGCGTCTGCACGCAGAAGCATTGAAAATTGCGAAGTCGGTCAGTTGATCGATCAGCTGATTTACCCCGATTGGGTGAAATCGGATATCAGGCTTCCTGGAAATTATCAGAGTTTCTGATCGAGACGATCAGACCAGATTGGGCCCTCGTCCTTCTCGCGCAGGTGCTGGACATCGCTCCTCGTACACTACTGTACTTCGTCATCCAACGAGGCAAATTTCCAACGTTGAACGCCTCCCACAGCACGTCCGACCACAGCTCGTGCCATGCAATTTCGCGCACAAATACAGGCAACACAGTTCGGTACCGAACGTTGCAACGCCTTGTACTGAGCGATCACCACTGTTCCGGATAAGACGTTGCATTAGAATTCGTTCAAGGTGTTTTTTGTGAGCAACTTGCAAACAAGGCCTCCTGTCCCTGTGTTCGCGATACTAGGTACTCTAGATTCTCGTTAAAGTGGTGTACCTTAGCCTTAACAGGGTTTTAGCTTACACATAATGCCAAACCTACTTGCATGAATCTGCCCGTTCAAAAACCCAATCCCTAATGCGTTCAAACATGGAGAAATGGCCCATCATGTACAAGCAAATGTTTTTATTGCAGTTGTTGAAAACTCAACTTACCACACTGTCACCCGTCCGTTATTCGCGCATGTTCATATTGTTAGTCATATTGGCGATGTTACGAATAGTAATATTTGATATTACTGTGCACTCCTCACCGCAGCAAAAGGGAACACGCAGTATCGGGAACGTGCGGAGATTCACTCTACAACGGTAGTGAGCTAGACTACGGGGGTTGGCACGAACTACTAGGAGTGATCGTAGCTTTGCTTGGTTCCTTAGTGCTTGCACATTCACGGGAGAAATTGGCAAGAGTTTCCACTAGCAAAGTTGGAATTACAGAATGATTGATTCAAGCAATGACAGAATGACTACATCAGGCACCTAGCAACCCTGCAGCCAGCCTGGTCGACTGCCAGCGCAGCTCGGTCGACCGCGCGCCAGCGTTGCGTAGAGGAGCCGCGCCAGCACTGCAGAAGAGCGACCTGCCAACGCTGCAGGTCGACGGCGTGCCAACGCTGCAGCAATGCGGCGGTCCAGCGTTGCCCCGTAGAAGACAGCAGTGCGTACGTGTTAAACTGTATTATGCTTGTAGGCTGTAGTGGGGTAGCCAATATGGGGTACAACCCCAACTAGGGTTTCATATTTGTACCCAAACTTCTGCTAGTTCAACCATTCTTGCCTAGCTATTCTGAAATGGTATTCAGAGCAGGAGGTCCCTAGGACCTACCGACCGTTTTTTTTTTTTTTTTAAGGGCCCACCACCGCTCGCATGCGGTTACCACGCTACCCCGTGCCCTAGCCTCGTAGCGCCCTCGTGCGCCCTCGTTAGCGCCCTCGCGCGCCCCTCGTTAGCGCCCTCGCGCGCACCCTCGTTAGCGCCCTCGCGCGCCCCTCGTTAGCGCCCTCGCGCGCCCCTCGTTAGCGCCCTCGCGCGCCCCTCGTTAGCGCCCTCGCGCGCCCCTTGCTAGCGCCCTCGCGCGCCCCTCACTAGCGCCCTCGCGCGCCCCTCGCAGTGCAGCCCGCCCGCCCGCTCGCTGCCCGCTTCGCGGCCCGCCCGCCACGCAGCCCGCCCGCCCGCTCGCTGCCCGCTTCGCGGCCCGCCCGCTTCGCAGCCCGCTCGCTCGCTGCCCGCTCCGCGGCCCGCCCGCTTCGCAGCCCGCTCGCCCGCTCGCTGCCCGCTTCGCGGCCCGCCCGCTTCGCAGCCCGCTCGCTCGCTGCCCGCTTCGCGGCCCGCCCGCTTCGCAGCCCGCCCGCCCGCTCGCTGCCCGCTTCGCGGCCCGCCCGCCTCGCAGCCCGCTCGCCCCGCTGCCCGCTTCGCGGCCCGCCCACTTCGCAGCCCGCCCGCTCGCTGCCCGCTTCGCGGCCCGCCCGCTTCGCAGCCCGCTCGCCCCGCTGCCCGCTTCGCAGCCCGCCCGCCCGCTCGCTGCCCACTTCGCGGCCCGCCCGCCGCGCTGCCCGCTTGCAGAGCCGCCCGTCCGCCGCGCTGCCCGCTTGCAGCGCCGCCTGCTACTCCTTGCCCGTGCGCAATTGCCCGCCCCTGCTGTGGTAGCTTGCGTTGCTCTGCCGTACTGTCGCTATGGCTTCCATCCGCGTGCTTTCGTTCGATGCTGAGGGCCGCCCTGTGCAGTTCACCACTTGGCTAGATGACCTGCAGCTGTTCCTCCTGAGCGATAGCAAGGAGCATGTGTCGCTCTATGATTACGCGTCTGGTGCTGCGCCTGCCCCTCCTGCCACAGCTGAGCTTAGTGTTCGTTCCCACTGGCAGACTCGTGACGCAGCTGCTCGCCTAGCCATTCGCAGTCACCTGCCGTTAGCTGAGCTCGAGCATTTTGGCGACTGCAAAACCGCTAAGGCCCTGTACGACGCTGTCGTTGCCCGCTACTCCTCACCTGCCACAGCCGAGCTTAGCCGCCTCATGCTGCCTTACCTGTTCCCTGAGCTGTCCACCTTTGCTACAGTCGCCGATCTTATCACCCACCTTCGCACTAGTGACGCTCGCCTGCGTGCCGCCCTTCCCACCGAGTTCTGCGCTAAGAACCCCCCTCCACTGTACTGGACACTCCACTTCATAGTCACCCGTCTCCCTGACACCCTCAGCTCAGTGCGCGACTATTTCCTTGCTCGCTGTCCCACTGAGCTCACTGTCGCCCTCCTAGAGGAGAAGCTGCTAGCAGCCGAGAAGAGCATTATAGCTGTAGGTGCTGCTCGTGGTGCTCCTCGCACCCCCATCTTTGAGGGGTGTTCTCCCTCTCCCCTCGCTCCCTCCTACGCTACTGCTGCTGCTGTTGACTTCCTTGGTGCTGAGTCTGCTGGCGCTGCTTCTGCTTCTGGTGGGAGGCGCCGCACTGGCAAGGGCAAGGGGGGCAAGGGTGGCGGGGGTGGCGCTGGGGGGGGAGGGGGTGGGGGAGGTGGGGGGGGAGGCGGTGCTGGAGGGAGCGGTGGCGGGAGTGCCGGTGGGAGTGGGGCCGGCGGCGGAGGCGGGGGCGGCGGCGGGAGCAGTGGCGGTGGTGGCAGCGGCGGCAGTGGCGGCGGTGGCGGTAGTGGCGGTGGCGGTGGCGGTGGTGGCGGTCGGAGCGGAGGTAGTGGCGGCGGTGGAGGTCGGAGTGGAGGCACCGGCTCGGGCCAGAGCTCCCAGCAGCAGCAGCGTCCCCAGTCGACCCAGCAGCTTCGTGAGTGGCTTGCTCAGCGTGGGACGTCTGGGGGCAGTAGCCGCTGTTCCTATGTCATTCGCACAGGTGATCGCAAGGGACAGACGTGTGGGAGGTTTCACACCCCGTACCGCTGCTTCTTCCGCCTTGACGACGCTTGGCGTGAGGAGATGGGCGAGGATGTTGAGCGCC